ATATGACTGTTTGTCTCAGATACTTATCTATTGAGACGCAGGTGTTACGCAATATATTTTCCATTTTAAAAGCGTTCACGGGTCGAAAAAGAGTCTGTATTTGAAGGACCAGAGACAAAAGTTGTATCGTTTTAAAACGGCAACGGACACTTTGGTTAGAGCCTCGCAGGTGATCCTCGGACGTCTTAGGGCAGTGCAGAATCGACACTGGCATTGGCAGAAATCACTGTTGTGCACCTTACTGCTCTTCGAACGTTGATGCAGGATGAATGGCATAAGTAGGCTTTTATTATACTCCAACACGAATATTCTGGACGAAAAAATGTTTTTTTAAGAGTTTTTAGTCACTTTTGAACGTCAGATTCAGGATTACAGTCACTTTTAAATGGATAAAAATATCAAGAAGTCTTTTTAATGAATATTTTTCTCAATTAGCAAAGTTTTTAACGTATTTAATTCAATTGTCTTTGTTTAAAGCACCAAATCACTTTCCTGACATAACAAATAGTCTATAAACATACGAAAAAATTCCCATGTTGATTGTTTCACGAATAAAAAAAGAAAAACGAAAACTTTTTCAAAAACTGCACTGGCCGGTTACAAAAAAAGCGGATCACTGACAGCACGGAACGTCACTTTGCGCGGGAAATGTAGCACTGAAAGAAAACTCCGCTCGCTCCGAAATAAATGGTTTTCCAATGTAAACAATGCTATCTGGTTTATTTTAATTAGATAGGCTTGACATTTGCTCATTAAATAAGACATTCTATTTATTCCATCGCTATCTGTGCTCTGTGCAGATGTCTGGGGTTGTTTTCGTCTAGAAATCGATCGTTTTTGATAATTTTGTTACTTTTCGCGACGCGTGCGCGCTAGCCAATCGCGCGATGTGACTAATCTTATATCGTTTTAAAAAATGATGTAAGCAAGGTCAGTGTCGTGATAGTGTAGTATAACAGAGATAGCACTACAAGCTTGTCTGGCCTTTAATAAAAAGGTCAAAGAGTTTATTATTGATTGCTCGGATTGACATGTCAAAGATTGTTAATCATTTTGACCAATAATGATCGTCCTAAGTGACATTTAGCTGTCATTATAAATTTTGTTGTCTCTTTCTAAATTTGAATCACCGAAAGATACTAAAACATAAAAACAATCGTAATTTTAACAGGCATCGAGTATCAAGGAGAAAGATGTCACTTTAGTTAGTGTTGTACAATGTGGCAAAAATCGAAACTAATGACACAGTATTGATAGAGGCGCCCTCCTGTCAGTGTCATATCTGGGACACTTCAGTGTTGTACAACCATATTGAGGACCTACACTGAACTGTCCCACCAAACTCATTGACAGGGAGGCGCCACCATCGTTCAACTATTATTGTTTCCAACATGGCAAAAATCGGAACCAGCGATCCGGTATTGACGGTGGCGCCCCCCTGTCAATGTCACGGGTGGGACAGTTCAGTATATTGGGTCTATACCACTGCAGTTTTATCATAAACTAGCTGACCCGGCGAACTTCGTACCGCCTTAGCGTAGAGATTTTCTTTAAATTTTTTTCCGTAAGAACCATCCTTGGACTTCCACAAACATTTAAAAAAAAGAATTATCGAAATCGGTTCAGCCGTTCACACGTGATGCCGTGACAACGCGAAACGGGTTTCATTTTTATATATATAGATTCGTTGAAATAAATCTTGATATGACATTTTTGGTTGTCACTATCAGAAAGAGTTTTTTTTTTTAATGACAGTAAACATCACTGATAAATGTTATCAAAACGATTATTTTATCAGTAGAAATTCCTATAGTCAATTTGCTCTAGATTTGCTAAATTAAATTTAACTTCAACTGTGGGGGGAACGACAGATTATTTGGGTAGTTCTTTAAAACAACTGCAGAAGACAGTAAACTGCATTTTTTATAGATACGTTGTAAATTAATGCAAGGTTATTGTAGAATTTTAAAGGAAATAAAATGTCATTTTACGGTTGATTGTTTCAAATGATCGAATTCTATTGGTCTCTTGTAATCTCAGTACAGACGGCCTAGTGTGAGTTTGCATCAAACGCGCTCATCAAAAAAATGACATTAAATGTATGACGGATTGTACAGCGCCCCTAGCGGGAAACGTTCAAAAACTAAAATGTTCATACATTTTTGAGCGCGTTTGATGTAATCACACACTTAGTCCACTGAACAAAATGTAATAGAGGTTTTAAAATATTTAAAATAGGCTTAAAAATATTTGGTAAAAAATGTATGTCAAATACCCAAGTAAGTAGATTGTTAAAAATATAAAAAAAGACCCTAATAATATTAGAAAATTCTTGCCCAATCAAGATAATGTTGAGAATATTAAAATCTAAAGGGCAGAAGTTTTAAACATATTTTAACAATAACAAAACTAAAATGATGCGTAATATGAAGACATTGAGAAAATTATCTGACAATGATTATTATGTTCCAAAGATGTCCTATAGATAAAGATATCTAAGACTTTATCTAAGTATGCATTACGGTGCACATAAAGTTACACACTGTGAGATCTTATGCAGTTGGAATAGAGATAGTTTTGCAGCGAAAATGCAGTATAATTCACCGTATGTACGTAAATGAGTTTCCTGTGTGTACCTTTATACAGGGTGTAGAAGTGTAATAAACCTAAAGGATCCCGTAAAACTTGACTTAATGGAACTCTTAGACCCAGAACAGACGGTGAAACGCAACTGCAACTGCTAGTAACTTTTGAGTTGCATCTAAGTTTCTGCCATAGTGTCCGTTGAGAGACCACACATGACGCGACCAGTTTGAAACTTTCAGTTTCATTCATCAGAATCATCACAATGGCGCAGTTTCGTTGCAGTTGCGTTTCACAGTCTGTTCTGGGCCTTACTGAATGAACTCTCTTACTAATGAACTAACCTCTTGTTCCCACCGCGCTGTAACTCCTGTGCAGCCAGGATCTACAGCTTGACCGCTAATAACCCAACCAGTGAAGGTCAAGTTAGTACGGGTTGGGGAGCAATTTTTTAGACAATATTATTAATATTCTGACCGTTGGTATTTCTAAAAAAATCATGTTTCTCAGATACGCCTTCCAAGAAAAAAAAAACTGATTTTTAAGAAAGTATTGAAAATAATGTAGTACTACTAGTTTTCGTTGAGAGTTTTTGTCACCCTGTATCGTCTTATTTTGCAAAGTACTCGAAAGGTAAACTACGAAGGTATTATGTATTAAATCCTATAACAAACATCACAATGTTATTATCTTAGGTAATTTTACAACGAAAACAAAATGGCGGCCGGCTTTAACTGGTATTAATTGGAATACATAATTATACAATAAAATGATATTTATGGAACGCCCCATATTGATTTAATGGTGGTATTCAACACTTTAATAGTCAATTGACTTATTATTATTTTAATACTAGCTTTTGCCCGCGGCTTCACCCGCGTGAAATTTAGTTTGTCACAGACACAGATCATCATATTATAGCAATATTGTAGTTTCATCAAAATCCGTTCTGTAGTTTTTGCGTGAAAGAGTAACAAACATACATCCATCCAGACATCATGATATACAAACTATCGCCTTTATAATATTAGTAGGATAGCAGAGCGTGACGTCACATTACAAACTCCCTAACTATAGGTATGGCATAACCGGACTAATTCAAACTCTAGCTTTTTAGGGTTCCGTAGCCAAATGGCAAAAAACGGAACCCTTATAGATTCGTCATGTCTGTCTGTCTGTCCGTCCGTATGTCACAGCCATTTTTTTCCGAAACTATAAGAGCTATACTGTTGAAACTTGGTAAATAGATGTATTCTGTGAACCGCATTAAGATTTTGATGCAAAATAAAAAAATAAATAAATATTGGGGGCTCCCCACTCCCCATACTTAGAACTGAAACTCAACAATTTTTTTTTCGTCAAAAACATACGTGTGGGGTATCTATGGATAGGTCTTCAAAAATGATATCGAGGTTTCTATAATACTTTTTTTCTAAACCGAATAGTTTGCGTGACAGACGCTTCCAAAGTGGAAAAAATCTAAAGAAAAGATATGATGTTTACTATAAAAACTACCAACGAAAATTGTTTTGAACGAGATCTAGTAAGTAGTTTTTTTTAATACCTCGTAAATCGTAAACCGCTTATTACCGCGTAATTTTTCATACGAATAACTTAAATTAAAAAAAAAATTCATAAATCAATGGTACGGAACCCTTTGTGCGTGAGTCCGACACGCACTTGGCCGGTTTTTTACCAAGGAAACATCCCTATTGACTTATCTCTCTGTCTACTGTCCCTGTCTCGCTCGTGAATTGACGCTTAGACATTGCCTAAAGGGTAGGTAGGTTAAGAATAAAACTACACTTGAATTTAACTAAAGGTGGAAAAATATAGTATTTGAGCTGTTTGTTATTATTTTATTTTAATTTCATTATTTTCTGTAGTTTCATTTACGTATGAACTTGTCTGTTGCGTGCACTTGCTGCTTATTTATTGTAAAGTGTATTTTGTGTTTTTCTTATAAGTGAATATAATAGGCTAGTTTCCTAAAAAAATTTTTTTAGTCCGTCATGTTTAATATCAAAAAATATTGGACACATAGATTTTTATTTGTCAATCTAACAAATAATTACATAGTTATGGTGCGTTGAAGTTCCGCACGACGTCACAACGTGCGGCACTTTTATGCACGCATTGACGTCACGGGCCTCTTCTTATGAACTTTGGCGCGCTTATTCTCTTTTTTTCATTAGTTTGAAAAAGTGAAAAATACGTGTAGAGTATTTTTTGATAAGTTAATTAACGGACTAATTAAAACTCTTGCTTTTTGACCCAGGAAACATCCCTATCGTATTATTTTAGAAAAATACATATCTAAAACCATAAAGTCAAGTTAACGGTCGTGGTCTCTCGTCTCTTTCTTTTGTCTCGGTCGCAGCGCGAACTGTCGCCTTAAGGGTTAAAATATGACATACCTTCATTCATCGCCATATCCATGAGCTGCAGGTCTTCATCGTTGAGGATCGACTGGAGAAACCCGTCTTGGTTGGCCGGGGGTGCCATCTCGCTCGTTGAGTTCTGCTTTGGACCAAAATAAACTTAAGTGTAGTAATTATAAGAGCTAAATATCCTTGGACAATTTTACACAGCGCCATCTATGTAGTTTCAAATTTAGAAAAGCTTGTACAGTCAGCGTCAAATTATTCGTGACAAAAAGTTGACAACACAACCTTATTCCAATGAGGGTTTACGCGAATGAAGAATCCGCCAGATGGCAATACGAAGACGTGAGGTCCAAATGCTGCATGATTGGTTATTTTTTAACATGACATTGACAGATATGTCAAAATCCACCAATCACGCAGCAGTCAGACCCCACATCCACGTCCCGCCATCTAGCGGATCTTTCATACGCGAAAACCCTCATTGTAACAAGACATGTTGCGAACTTTTTGACTACTTTGGGTGTCGCGAACTATTTGACGTTTACTATACTAGACATTAGACATTGGATATACGAGTATCTAATTACTTTTTTGTAAATGTTTTAGAAAGATCCAGACCAATAAAAACAGAGTTAATAATGCACATTTTTTGTGTTGCGTAAGTAATAAGTATCGAACTTGTTTAGGTAAAGAAAGGGTTCTTTACTAGGTCGCAAGAAGCACCTGGATGCGGGCAGCGCAAGACCGGCCGTTGTTGAAATCCTTGGGTGCGGCCTTTGTCCAGCAGTGGATATCTTTTGGCTGAAACGCGCTAGGTACGTCCAGTACGGGACTATTCCCACCTCTCGTTCCCACCGCTGCAACTCCTGTGTAGCCAGGATCTACAGCTTGACCGCCAATAACCCAACCAGTGAAGGTCAAGTTTGTTCGGAAAGTTAACATGTCATTGGACCCGCAGCGAAAGTTGCGCAGTAGTAGAATGGCACTGATGATGATGATGATGATACATACCTGATAGTAGATCCCATCGTGTTGCTGAGGGTGATGAGCCGATTCCACCTTGTAGGCCCCTTCCAAAGGCGCTGCTGCGCCAGCTGTGACGAAAAAAGTACATTTTAAAACAAGCTTTTAGTCTAATGTAGAGCTTTCATCAAGACAAAACTCAGGATATGAAAAAAATCACAAAACTCATTTATTTTTTTGCTAATTGGCTTTTTAAAAGAGCTTCAACACGTCCCAGTACTTCTCACTATAACCCTACCACTGCTTCGGGACAATGGTTGCTGTAATTCATTTAACAGTTAGGTAGTCGTGATTCTGTGGAGGGCACTTGTATAGAAAGCATATGAAAAGGAACCAAAAAAGCCCCAACTCAGTGTACAATATTACATACAGTTAGATATAGGTAACTATTTAGTCTTTACCGTGTGGTTCTGGCAGAATAGAATAGTGTCACTCCAAATCTTTCCATGGGTTTCGTAAGAGGCGACTAAGGCCTCAGCCTCGAGTTTAGTGGGCAGCGGGGCGGGAGCGGCGGCGGCGCGGGAGCGGGGCGGGCAACGCAGACCCGTTCTCGAAACAAGCGGGCAGCTCGCGCGGCGCTTTAGCGGCGAAGTGTTGTGTTCGGAGTTGTGTTGTCGAGATATTTGTTTTTATTCGCAAACGAAATGTCTGAACAACGGCGACAATTTTGTTTCGATTCAAATTTATTCCTAACGCTCGATTTATTGTGGGCAAAAGAAGGAGTGCGCTGCCCGCTCGTTGCCCACTCCCGAGCCGCTGCCCGCTCGTTGCCCGCTGCCGCGCCGCTGTTTTCGAGAACCGGTCTATTTGATTTTACGCATAAGATCCTGCCGCTCCCGCGCCGCCGCCGCTCCCGCCCCGCTGCCCGCTAAACTCGAGGCGGAGGCCTAAGGGACAAATATGCGAACATCAGGCCTCCCCAGCCCGTCTGGCCAGCGTGGGGAGTGTAGGACAAATCCTCCATTTGCCTCTGGTAAGTTAGAGGGTCGTGCTCCTGCAATGGAGACTGAATGACCTGATGATGTAGCTCTTATTGATACGTACCGTAAGGGTCAGGGTGTTTCTCCGGCACTGGGGGGAGAGGGGCGTGGTAATTTGGCGGGTAACCGCCGGCCGCGCCATGGGAGCTGTGAAAAAGAAAAACGGGTATAATTTCTCAATCAATACCTCAAGGTAAGTGATATGGTTCAAAATATCAATTTGCCTTAAATTCGATTCAACACACTCGTAGTTTTACACATTGAAAGTACCTAAATAGTAAGTTAAGACCTGTTATCATAAGACATTATCCGTGTGCAGTTTTGGGTCTGCCATCGGTCGCGTTCGCGTCCCCGAGTTACGGATAGGGGAACACCCCCATTCTTGGGGGATACAGTCCGCATCAAATAGTTCGTGACACCCGAAGTGGGCAAAAAATTGACAACACAACCCAAAGACGTGCTGCGAATTTTTTGGCTAATTTTTGGATAATTTGGCTTTTTGTGTACCGGCGCGGACAGAAACCCAAGCGCGCAGGTCTCGTCAACTCGGCGGGCCTGTCGGGCAACCCGTAACCCACAACCGAGTGGGCCGGGGGCCGTCGAGGCCCTGGCCAAATGGAGTTATCTTTAAAAACCCCCACAGGTGGGTGCTGGTGGGGCGTTGGACCAAGCTAATTCTCTGGAGGGCTGTTTTCGGTACGTATCAGCAGAGTAGGCTGGTGATACTGCTTATCTTTACGAATGTCTGTGAGCAGCATTACATGCCTCTAAACAAGGGAGCTGGTGGTGGTACCGATGGTACTGCTCTAGTCAGCAGCATTGATACTGCTTTTATAGCAGTCTTGTCTCTAATCAAAGGAGTATAAAAGCTATATTAGCTCACCTGGTGATGCAAGTAAGGGTTAGGCTGGTGGCACTGCATAGCCAGCAGCATTACAGGAGTCTGGTCGCTAAACAAAGCTGTATAATGATCTCATTCGCTCACCTGACGATATGAGAGTGTGAGTGACCAACATTACAGAAATCTGGTAGCTAAATAAAGAGGTGAAGATGCTATATTCGCTTACCTGGTGATATAAAGATGCAAGTAAGGGTTATGCTGGTGGTACTGCATCTTGGCGAATATCTGTGACCGGCATTACAGAAGTCTTAAAGTCCGGGCGCCGAGCACGTAGAATTTCGTCCAATATAATTATATTGCTGTCGCGCTCGTACACTCACTGCGGGCCGCCCGTCGCACATTCGCGACAACAATATAATTACGCGCGAGCGATAAGGATGGGTAGCTTGGGGTCATTGGACGAAATTCTACGCGCTCGGCGACCGGACGTTAGTATCTAATCAAACCTGTATAAAGTCTATATTAGCTTACCTAATGTTATGCGGGTGGGGGTGGGGATGGGGATGGGGCTGATGGTGGTGGTACTGGTGGTACTGCTCCGGTGGCGGCGGGATGGTCAGCAGCGAGGCCAGGTCCTGCCAGCGCTGCTCCACCGACATAGACCGCATCAGCGACTGGAAGAACGAAAGGAACTGTTAACATCATCAAGCCTACCCTCTCTTGTCGATTGGTTGGGATTTAGTTATGATTTGTTGTGGTTTATAAGGGTCAATCCGTAAATTGTTGCATGTCATCTCGTGGTCCAATCGTCACATTCATAGACCTCATCAACTCAAGGGGTCAACAATACATAGCTTTAAGCTACGTATTGTTTGATCTCTCTCTTTTCACGATTAGTAGCAGACTGTATCCATTAGTAGACTGCAACCAAACACTCTTTGAGCTCAGAACTTTCGAAGTTCAATAAGCTGTGAGCACATTATTAGGTACTTTAACCAAAAACGCAAAAGTGCCGAAGACAAAAAAAAACCCTCTCTTGTCATTGGATCCGCAAAAAGAGTCTTCCAGTGACTTGGCCCACTTTTAGCTTGGTCCATGGGCCAAGTCGCTGGTTTGAATTTTTAAATAGTTTTTCTTCCAGTGACTGGGTCCACCTCTAAGATTCTAGAGTAAATTTTGTTGATTTGGTGTTAATTTATTAATAAAACATTGAAGGTCTTTTTGGAAAATAGTCTACTGGATTAATGATTATCGAATAATTTAACGATAGTTAACATTTTTTAAAGTTAACTTAAAAGTTAATCCGTTAATAGAAATGTTAACTTCGTTAATTAACGGATTATGACCGTTATCTAGCTTGTAGGACAAGCTTTGCTTAAAATGTCCTTCAACCGTATTTCTAAACATAACCCTAATTTCTATCGTAAAAATAATCGGTTATTTTGCGAGCCTATTTACCGGTTTGTGTAAACAATACCAATGCGTAAACATTCCACATTCAAGCAACGTTTGTCAAACACAAACGGGCTTCTGTTGACAGAAAGCCACGGCCATGTTGCTTTAAAATTTCAAATTTCGAACGCTCTCGTCGCGTGCCATTGGTCAAATAGGCATAGACACGGATTTTATTAGTTTTTTGTGATTCCGTGGGAGGTCTGGGCATTCGAGTTGTGTTTTTTTTTAAATATTTTATAGAATTGGCAAACGCCGTTAAATCTAAGACTTTTTTTTAACTTTAATTATGCAAGACAAGGCAGGTATTTGACCACAATTGCACCTGGTGTTAAGTGAAATTCAGTCTAGGATGGTACATTCTGCCCTGTAAGTTCCTATTCACTCTCGCCTTGAAAAGGCCCGGATTATAGTGTTCAGGAAAGACAGCAGCAGGCAGCGAGTTCCAGTCCCTAGCATGTCAGCAAATTCAGATTTGTATGCTCTGTCACGGTCAGTGGAACTGGATTGGCCACACTCTCCGAAGGGACCCCGATCACATCCCTAAGCAGGCTCTGGATTGGAATCCTCAAGGAAAACGCAAACGTGGTCGACCCAGGCAAACTTGGCGGCGCACTGTAGCGGACGAGGCGAAGAAGATCGGCAAGACCTGGCCCCCTAGACAAAACGAACTTTTTGATCGAATCGAAAATCGAATCCGTCAAAACTCCATACAAAAAAGGGGCTTTTCGACCACTTTTCGACTGGTTTGCGATTATAATTTGCACTTTGTCTAGACGCACTGGAGCGAGATCAAGCGAGAAGCTCAAGACCGAACGAGATGGAGGACTGTTGTGGACGCCCTCTGCCCCATCTAGGGGACATAGGACCATAAGTCAAGATGCTCTGTCACGTGATATTGTCAATGTTTATGTCACCCCTCCCGTGCCGCTCCCATACCTCAGGCAGTGACTGACTTCAGCGCTAGACCTTTAAGTGTTGTATCAACAAGTTTCACTGCGGTCCGCTACGGCAACTGTTCTGCGCATGTTTGTCTATGGACGACTTTAAGGCTTGTCTATGGTCTTTTTGGAACGTGCTTAAAGCAAAGGCGTTGTTGTTTGAGGGCGAGATGTTGGGTTAGCAAGAATTTATTGTCTGTGGCCGGGGGTCGATACTAGAACCTGAAGGAAATTATAAGACACTAGCGGCCCGCCCTGGCTTTGCTTGCATGGTTGCAATGGAATTTCTCGGCTTTTCTCTTATATAATATGCATGTTTTATACACATAAACCTTCATCTTGAATTACTCTCTCTACTTATTAAAAAAAACCGCATCGAAATCCGTTGCGTAGTTTTAAAGGTCTAAGCATACATAGGGACAGACAGACAGGAAAGCGACTTTGTTTTATAATATGTAGTAATGTAGTGAAGAGAATCGGCCCCTACAAATCAACAGCCTACAGTTGCTCTCGCGCAGGCTCGGAAGTTTTCTCTGCAAATATTAAAAAGCAAACACCTCTGTTGACATGGAACACAGTTTTAAGATTTTACGATCGCACGAAATCGACAGAGAGCTGTGATATTTCGCTGCTACTATCAAAATCAGTTTATTTACCTTAAAAGCCTTTTTTGCGGTAAAATTTGGACATACTTTTACGGACGTAATCCACTCTGAGCACCCTCAAAATAGCACCCACACGAATAGCACCTTGCCTATCGATATAAAATAAATTTAATTCCACGAATTAGCACCTGCAGCAGTCGCGGCCAAAAGCTAGTTTAATCATATTTTATTAACAAGATACCTCTTTTTATTGAGGTTTAGAAAGCAATATTTAATAAAATACATAAAATTATGTCAATAAACTTTATGATACCTTGATTGATAGAGGAACCAGTATATCACAAATCACAATTTACTTAAATCTTTCTAAAAAATGTTTGCTGTATCGTAAATTAGAAAGCATTCTTCCCGCCAATTCGATTGACAACTTTGACAGGTGTCTATGGTGCTTAATTATTTTTTAATTTAACCGCTAATGGCATTGGACGACGCATAAACGAACAGAAGTTATTAATTATATTCGATCTTTAGTGTATTTGTTAACAGTTTTAAATTATTAATAGTTGAACTTTGATAGTAGTTGCAGACTTGTCAATTTGATATTATAACTTATTAGTTTTGTTGATGGATGTCGAAAATGAGAAATGAAGCAACATCGACGATTGTGAGTGCTGGGGATTTTTTACGGGGTAAAAAGCGCCTAATATAGCCAAACGATGAAGGTGTCGGATAGGCCAACTCGTGATCCGAGAAACGCTGGTTCGATTCCCGCCGTTCGCTTACCTATTGTGGTGAACCCACTCGTAACACAAGCGTATAACTTACCAGGAGGGGTTAACGGGATTATTACTCGTAGTAATTTGTAATTTAAAAAAGAAAATAATGTCGAATTTTCGTATAACACATGGGAGGGTAGACCGTCAAGTTTCCACAAACCGTTGTCTATGGGCGTTGTAACTGTCATTTGTTTGCAGTACAATTTAAAAATGGAAACATCTTCATTCAAAAAATTCAAATTGGTAAAGCGCAAGTTATTCAAGTGTCTCTTGTGCAAGTCATAAGTTAAGATGGCGGACGGATTAACGGAAAATTGTGTTTGGAGTTCTTTTACATTTTAAAATGTGTTTTTACGGTATAAGTGTCCTTCTTCTGTCAAAATTGGGTCAGTGCTTTTGTGTCTTAAAATTACGCCCGTGTTCACAAACATTAATATGAGGTCTCACAGTGCGTGTAGCGTGGACGCACATGGTGATACACGAACCAATCACAGAGCTCTATTTAACGCTTTGCGTACTACTGGACCGATTTGAAAAATTCTTTCACCATTAGTTAGAATCCTATATTATTTCTGATGAACATAGAGGTATGAAGTTCGCCGAGAATAAAAAAGCTACAAATTCGCTAACAAATTACATACAGAACCCCCAAAAAATCAGTCCAATACCACTGTAGAAAGTTTAAACGTAGACGTTCAGTAAGAATGATGGTGCTTAAAAGAACCGTTGGTTATGACATAAAGTACTCAACTTGTACAGTCAACAAAATATACATTTTTGTGCCAAATTAATACTTACTTACTTAAATACTACAGTCAGCGTCAAATATTTCGTGACACCCAAAGTGGCTAAAAAGATAACACAACCTTATTCCAATGTATTTTATTGCGATTGACAAATATAATTACATAATACAATAAATAGATGAACCTACATAGATTAAATATTTACAAATAAAAAATATGTCCCAAATCGCTGTCCAAACAACGCGACATGGTGCCCAGAATGCTGGCTGCATTTCCGCGCTGAATGGCCAAACTGATTCGTTGGCCAAGAAATGCGCCAGCTCTTCCATCACCTGTACAGTCAATCAGCCGCTTGGCTAATTCCCTGTACAGACGATGAGCACTTGGTTCCCACGGACCTAGCGTCTTAGCGATTAAGCTTGTGTTGTCAACTTTTTGGCCACTTGGGTGTTAACTAATTGACGCTGACTGTACGATCGGTGATTTTTTTGAAATTACACCACCGTTAAGTTTAAACTCTTTTGAAGATCATATCGGTTTAACTTTGGATGTTTATTACCTTTAACTCACTAGCTTAAGTACGTGGTTTCGTTTGAATTTAGTGTGAAAGTTTTTGGAAGCTTTTCGGTTAAGTTCCGGGTCGATCGAAGAGCCTTATGTCAAATTAATTGTAATTTGGTTTTTTATATTGATTTCTTAATTACTACTATATATTTATTAAAGAGACAACATAATCATGATGAGTGATACTTTATTGTTAAAGATTATTTTTTAAGTAATGAATATTAGTGCATAATTTGTATTGCACAAATTACTATTAACAGTCTTGTTAACCCGTCTTGGTAAGCCAAAACCATGCTTCTGTTAATAGAGCACAATAGTTCGAACCCGCGTTCTTCGGATCACGAGTCAGCCAGTCCAATATCTTCACCGATGGGCTCTTGTCACTTTAATACAAAAAACTTAATACAAAATTGCTACACACAATTTTTGCCACTATTAACAAAAGCGGCCCCAAAATAGTACCCTGAAGTGCCTCCCAAATCTCAAAAACTCCGCAAAATCACTACAAATCCTACACGCTGGCGTCACAACTCATATCCCCCGACCTTGCCAGCCTCTCAAGGTGTCAGAAAATTGCATAGGTGGTTCTC